GCTGGTCACGCACAGCCTCTGGCATGGAAGCTGCTCCTTGGATTGTGCAACCGAATGACACTAGCCAATATCTCTGGTCCCAGACACAACCCTAGGAACCTCTGTCTTGCAGTGCCCAGTTATGCCCGCTGGACGCTGCAAGCTTATATAAGTTCGTCAATTTAACAAAGAAATTGATATGTACCAGGCTTGTTATCCCAAGGGGAGTCTCTGACACTGCAGACCAAACGCACTGCTTCAGGCAGAACAAACAAACAATTTATTAACTATAAAGATCGATTTTAAGTGAGTATAAGTCAAAGCCTAACAAGTCCAATGTGGTCAAATGAAATAAAAGCAAAACACATTCTAAGCTGATCTTAACACTTTCAATGTCCTTACAAACTTAGATTCTTCTCACCACGGGCTGGCTGGTTGCCCTTCAGCCAGGCTCTCCCCTTTGATCAGCGCTTCAGGCGAGAGAGAGAGCGCATGGCAAACGTCTCTCCCTTTTATCATGTCCTTTCTTTCCTCTTGGCTTTGCCCCCCCCTTCAGAGTCAGGTGAGCATTACCTCCTCGCAGTCCCGAACTACCCAAAGGAAGGGGGTGACTCCCTGGAGGGTCTAACACAGGGGTGGCCGACCTGTGGCTCCGGAGTTAATATGCGGCTCCTGGTCTAGGCACCGACTCCGGGGCTGGAACTGCAGATGCCAACTTTCCAATGTACCGGGGGGTGCTCACTGCTCAACCCCTGGCTCTGCCGCAGGCCCTGCCCCCACCCCTGAGCCTGCCATGCCCTCGCTCTTCCCCCTCCCTCCCAGAGCCTCCTGCACACCACGAAACAGCTGATCAGGAGGTGCGGGGAGGGAAGGGGAGGCGCTGGTTGGTGGGGGCTGCCAGTGAGTGGGAGGTGCTGGGAGCGGGGGCGGGGAGCCGATGGGGGGCTGCTGACGTATTACTGTGGCTCTTTCGCAATGTACATTGGTAAATTCTGGCTCCTTCTCAGGCTCAGGTTGGCCACCCCTGGTCTAACAGATTCTTTTGTTGCTGGCTAAGCCAGTGTCCATTGTTCCTCATAAAGCTGGCCTGGGTTTGTCCCATCCATGCCCTGACGAGGCGGCGTGAACTGCCTCTCTGCTCTTGGAGAGTTTTTGCCTGGGCTTGCTTTAAGCCAGGAGGATACATTTTCAGCCTCATAACTATATACATGAAATTATAACCTATAACCTTACAGTAACATTACTGTAACAATCAATCACTATAACAACCATGCTCAGGGCATTAGGAGCCTTCCGAAGACACGCAACATGACAAACTTTGCATACCACACAATCATTTTATAAAGATGAACATGGGGGTGTAGGGTGTTCCCCCGAGGTACAGAGCATCACGGATTTTTTTAAAAAAACCCTATTTTCGTTGATTACAAAGATGTGGAAAGAAGTCTGATCTCAGGGTGTGTAAAAGCTCACTTACAGCAACTTTAAACATCTGAGCCCAAGTTAAAGGCACGGCCTTTGAAGCAGAGATGCCATTTGGCCTGATGCAGTACTGACTGTCTTCCTGAGTCTGCAGACGGGCAGCGCGCTGCTTCTTCTGCTTCTGCTTTTCCCAAGCAGCAGTGGTGGAATGAACACAAGACTCCAATCCTATGGGCAGCCATGAAGCTGATAATCAGGGTGCAGGCACTGAGCTGGTCACAGTGGAGAAAGACCCAGGAAAACTAGACTTGGGGAGGGCTAGACAACCCTATCTCCAATATTCAGGGATAAACAGGAGCTGAAGAGTCCATTGTCCTGAGCCTTGCATCCCCAAATCTGGTCAGTAAGTGTCCGGTAAGTTTTGCAAGGCCTCCATGGTTTGCACAAACCTCTTGAGCAATGTAGGGATCCCACCTGCTTCTGGAATGCAGCTGACTCTGGGGTTTAACTGCAGCCATTCAACAACCCCCAACACTACCAGCCAGGACAGGAAGGAGGGGAAAGTGCCTTATCGCCTTGTGTTCTATTGTTCTTGTGTGCTCAGTTCTATTCCCCTCCCCTGTCTAATACGCACATGCCAGACAAGCTCACTTGGCAGCAAAACCCCTGCTGTCTGAAACACCCTGCAGAGACTGTTCCATGCTGGCTGCTGCAGTTTACTACAAATCTGCCTTGGAATCGCTGCTCTCTCGTCCCAGAACCCAGGGGCTGCTGCCAATGAACCAGTAGGGGGTGCTAAAGTGCAATGAGCTGAGAACAGCTTGGTGGTGACCTTGTTAACCTTGGATTATGGCAGCACCCAACTGACCCTATAGGAATTGAGGGGCCCCATTCTACAGATCCCTGCAGAGCACGGCCAGCATTCTGCTGCCCTTTAGCTACTCTCTGCCTGATGCCTATCGCTAGCTTTTCTGTCTGGCTCTTCTACCCTAGAAACCAGTGATCCACAAACCTGAGGGATTGTGTGTATAGTAAAGGAGACACTGAATAACTGCTAAGGGGACAGGTGAGCAGAAAGGGACAAGGACACCACGGTCCCTGAATACAGCACCCAAATGAGGTGCCAAAGGGGACTCCCAGTGGGGGCAAGCTTGGCCTGGATCCTATTGGCCAGAGCACGGGAATTCGGACTCAGCGTCCCTCTACAGATGGCAACGAGTCTCTGGGACTGTCACCCGCAGGACGGTCCCACCTTTGGCTATGGGATCGGGACGCCGGCTCTAACAAGCAGCCACCAAAGGGCCAGGCCCAGTTATGACGGCCCTCTCCAGGATGGCTTAATAACTGCCCCAGGCCCTGTGTCGCTAAAGGGAGCTAAAAAAGGCACCATGAATGTGATAGGACCTGTTCCCCTGCCCCATGTATATGAATGTTCCTGTCAAACCCTGAAGGATCTCTTAACCCAGGACTTGTATTGGGCTAGGTGAGTGGCCCTCTTTGGAGGCTGCCATCTTGTCCTCCGGAGGCATGGCCAGACCCATCAGACCATCCTGCCTTTCTCCAGCTGCCTGCCCCCCAATAGACAGAAATTGGCTTCAGCCCAGAAGTAGGAGGGTTAGAATCTCAGCTTTCATTAGCGGGCGAAAAGCCCTCCAATCATAAGGGTCGCAGCGAAACGCATGAACGTGTGAGTGAGCAGTGAGGTCTGAGAGCCTGCAGCCCGCCAGCCCGAAACAGGGCCTCTAAGAAGTGTGATGTGCCCCGTTCCTGTTACTCCAAGTAATGAATCCTTGCACCTCAATGTTTTTAGCTGCTTCACGGATGAAAGCACATGGAAAAGAAGGGTCACAGATGTGCCCTGAGCGCGGTTTCATTTTGGTGTCATGAGCTGGTGGCATTTAGGAGACACCCCCATGCTTCCCCCACTCCGACTCTGGGAGCCACAAGGCCAAAGTGGGGACTGGGCATGAGCCTCACCCGAGGGGCAACACACCCTGAAGAGCTCAGGGGCATCCAAGCCTTTCCCCACGCAGCAGGAGCCTGGTCTGCTGCGGTGGGGAGTGTAGGGGGCAGGGGTCCCTCTCTCAGCCGGAAACTGTCTGCAGACTCAGGCACGCATCACTGCGGTGGTTCCTCTTGGCTCACTTCCCCCACCACCACCAGGCTGTCTTTACAGCCACAAGGGCTAGACACAATTTGTTTTAAGTAACTGTTTAAAGCTGGTCTGCAAACTCATCGAGTGGTGATATAACTATTTCAGTAAGGGGAGATGGCTTTTGAACCAATCAGGTTACGCTGGTACAAGCCCTAGTGTGTTATGCTGGTATAAAGGTACCGTATATATAGCTCATTGCCCTTCCTGTAGCGGAATAAGCTGTACATAGAAGCCCTGCTGTACCAGTATAACTGTATACGGCTTTACACCAGAACTGTATACACCAGAACAGTTGTGTGTGTAGACAAGGCTCTAGATTCCGACACCATTTGTGTGACTGGCAGGCAGGGCCCTGGGCGCATGCCCCTGCCTCGATTCAGCATAGCTGAGCATCACTTAGTGGGATCCCAGCAGAACACGCATGATCCTATGTTTTTTACAGTTTTCCCCACCTGATCTTAGTGGCATTCCGTGGGGGGGGGAGGGGAGGCGGGTTGGTGAGCAGGTTTGTGGACAGTATGACTACACTCTCCAGTTCTAGCCCTGCCTCAGTTACTTCTGGAGCCACTTCCTGGATAGACTTATTACGCTAGAACAATCCTGGTTTGGTAGGAACGGTGAGTTGGGCCCAGGGGCTGTTTCTCCACTCTGCCTATGGCCGTTTGTGGCTGTCCGTGCCCAGTGAGGGTGCTGCAAACACAGGGCCTTAGCAGGTGCTGAACTGGGTGCTTGGTGAGCTGGCCTGGTACATAGTAACTAGCCCAAGGGCTGATGGGGGGGGATGCTGGGATCTCCCCCTGCGTGCAGGGTATCCTGGATAACGCTGGGGGATTGTGAATTTGTGACAGGAGTTGTGGGAGAGGTCGTGGGCCCCTTCGCTCTGGGGAACGAGGAAGGGAATGTGCCCTGTGGGCCTAGTCCAGAGGCCGCAGGGCTGGAGCACTGGGGACACACTCCCCAGCATGGTGATCAGAGGAGAGGAGAGGCATGTCAAAGCGTGGGGGGCAGGAGCGTGGCTGGTGTGATGGGAGCAGAGGCCAGAGGCAGCATGGCACGGGTGGGAAGGGGCTCGCACCATGCCGCTTGTGCCCGGGGGAGGGGGCTGCCGCCCGCCCTGTGCTGAGACGCGCGGCGTTGGGGGCGAGCCAGCAGCAGCCGTTGCATTTCGTACTGATACACCTGCGGCCCCTCCCCTCACCGGGGGCCATTGCATCCCCCCCACGCGCTCCTCCCGCCGGCGTGTGGGCCGATGTGCCGAGAGGCGGAGCCCGGCGGGGAGTGGGGGGAGCCCTGGGCTGGGGGCGGGGCGGGCCCGTCCCCCCCCTTGCAGCCCACGCCCTGGGGCCGGCGGTGTGGTGCGTGCGCTCCCGGCGGGGCGGGGAAGGGTGTCCCTGTCTCTCTCCGTGCGCCAGGGCGCGGCGCAGCCACTCGGTGCGCTCGGAGGCGGAGCAGGGGCCACCCGAGCCTTAGCAGCCGCCGCTTTCTCGGCCGCCGGGAGACACAAAGGCTGCGGCTCTCGCCCCGGAGCCGGGCGAGGCGAGTGGAGCAGCTCCGGGCCCCCCGTTCCGTCCCGCCGGGGCCCCCCTTGGAGAGCCATGTCCTGCCTGGATTACCTCGCTGCCGAGTGCCTGGTGTCCATCTCCAGCGGGGCTCTGATCCACCCCGCCGCCGCCTCCAGCCTCCCCAGCCCCGATCCCGCTAGCAGCGAGGACCGGGAGGTGCGGGACACCCTCCGGGGCGCAGCCCCGGCGGCGGGCGGCTGCAGGGCGCGCCCCGGTTCGGCGCACTCGGAGAGCAGCAACTCGTCCTCGTCGGCCGGAGGGGGGGACCTGGAGAGCGGCTACACCACCCTGTCCGACGGGGGCGGCGGACCCCAGCGCGCCCCGCTGCCCGGCCACAGCCCCAGCCTCTCCTCCCCGGGCAAGCGGCACCGCTGTCACTTCCAGGGCTGCTGCAAAGTTTATGGCAAATCGTCCCACCTGAAGGCGCATCTGAGGACGCACACAGGTGAGGCCGCCTCCCGCCTCCCCCACTCTGCCCCTTCTCCCGGCGTGGGGACCCCACCTGCCCCCGACTCTGCCCCCTCCTTGCGCGGGGACCCCGCCCACCTGCCTCCGCCGCCTCCGCTCTCACGCTCCTCCCCCGGCCCCACTTTCCTCCCCCCTGCTCCTGCGCGCGTGTTCCCCCTCCTCCCCCACCCACGAGGGGCCCCCGCCTTTACCCACCTCCCTTTGCTCTCCCTGCCCCCCCTTTCCCTCCTGGGGTCCCGCCACCCCCTCCAGCTCTCCAGTCCTTTCGCATCTCCCCAGTACCCCATGCCCATAGGTAGGAACAGCCCCCCCCCGGTCGCTTTTTCAGATGGTGACTTTATCTTGCACCGATCTCCCTCCCTCCCTCCTTCGCCCCGGGGGCTGTGACCCCTCCCCCCGCCCCCATGACCTACCCCGGAGGCCTCCCTGTGGCGGGTGGGCGGGGGGGGGGTCCAGGGTGATGTCACTTATTTTTGCTGGGGGGGGGTGTTGTTAAGCGATCTGAAGTTGTGTCCAACTCCCCCCACCCCCGCTGCGTGGAACAACGCGACTTCATTTCCATTGGCCTCCAATCCATCAGTTGCCAGCCCCAAAGGGGCAGAAGCCCAGTCTATTACCCCTCCCCCCACCCTTCTGTGGGAAGGGCGGGGCTTGGACTGTCTGGGAGGCGTGGCCATGGCCTGTGACACGCTTCCCTTCCTTCTCTGCCATGCAACACGGCAGCTTTTCTTTGCGTGTGCGTGGTGGGGGACTGGTACTGAAGTGTGCGCACGTCAGGTCCTGGAGCCTGCTTCCCTGTGTGACTCCCCCCCCCCCCGGATCTCTTCCTTGCCCCTGGTTTCCGGGAGTAGCGCCCCATCCCTGGGGACCTCTGGAGGTGGCTGAAGCCCTTCGACTTCTGAAAGTGGCCTGTGTGGCTGGGGGGGGGGGGGGTGCTGGCCCGCCCCCGAATCCCGGGGCTGGCACTTCCTGCACACTGAGTCTGTGGGGTGCAGCTGGCTCTGGGGGAGGGTACGGGGTGGGTCGCAGGAATCTGCATGGCAGCTCTCCACTGGGCACGAGGCTGCCTGGGGCCTCTCTGCCTAAGCTGGTGGGTGGGACTGGGGAGAGGCAGGAGGCAGAAATGGACGTGAAGGGGGAGGGGGCAAAATCCCAGGGCAGAAGCTGCCTGGTTTCCTGGTTCTCTGTCTCGCCCTGATGCACTGGGGAGGCCGCTGCACCTGCGTTGGTGCCAGGCAAGGAGGGTGGAGCATTGGCACTGAACAGAGCAGAGGAGATCAGGGCGGGAGTGTCATTAATTCCCCCCCTCCCACCTCTCTTGTTGTTTCTAATTGGGCAGGTTGGCAGTATGGGGGCGGAAAGATAAGAGGCCCTTAGTAAGCCTTGGTTCTAGCCACAGGGCAGGGGCTGAAGGAGTGTCTGGGATACTGTTCTTAAGGATTGGTTCAGTTGGCCTTACCTGCGAATTCTTGGGGAGACTGAGGCCAGGTACTGGCATGTACCCACAGACCACCCCCGCGATGTGCGCTTAGCTTATATCTGCTGTGAGCTCCCTCACGTGAAACAAGCTGGCCTGATATAACTGCACTTTTTTGCTGCTATAACTGTGCCTGTACGAGGGGATTCTGCCAGCCCGGCTGAGTCGGTCAGAGATCGCACCCCTGACCCACGTGGGGATACTGGCAGGAGTCTGTTGTGTCAATCTGGCCTGAATGACCCTGAGCCGTGAGTTGTGCATGCTGGGCTGTCAAACTGGCCCCTTTTGCAGTGTTAAGCTCACAGTTAATGAAAACTACACTGAAATATATGGTAGGGGGTGGCTAATTGTTCGGATGATAGATATCGGCCCATTGTGGGTGTCTGGAGTCTTGCACCCCAGCGTTAGGAAGCATTTGGATCCAGGACTTATGTCTTGGCAGAGTTCGGATCTGGACTGCCACCAACCCAGAGGTCGTGAAAGTTTGGGGTTATACAGAGACCCAAAGCAATTGGGCCCAACTCTCCTGCCTCTCACCAGTGAATCGGTGCGGTTATGGGGGGGTCGAGAGTGGGCCTGCGATGTGTCTGCCCAGAGGAGCAGAGGGTCTCATGGAGTCGGCAGCCTCTTCCCACAGTTGCTACCTTAGTTATCAGGCAGCAAGATGCCTGGCGTGAAACCTGGTGTCCCAGTGAGGCTGCGTGTGAAGCCATGGCTGGCTCCACTCCAAGTCCTCTTAGGCACCATAACATGATAGCACCAGTTGGGAGCAACTGTCTGGAAATTCTGCTATCCGACATGACCCATGAGCCCTGCCTTGATCAGTGGTGTGTATAGTCAGTCGTGTCGATGCGGGGGTTGGTTTGGCTTTGCTGAGAGCACATGGTTGTCCTTTGATTTCAGTGTGGAACTGCCATGCTGGTTCGCTGGCTCCCTGTCACCACGGGGGAGGGGGGCATGGGCTGGACTTTGGGAGTGGCCTGGCGAGAGACCTGATCAACAGGCCTCATCCTGATTGAGATAGTTACACTGATGGTGCTGTACCAGTGCAGAGCACTACTGTCTCAGTGCGAATGCACTGATGTACGGTGATCTGCAACGGTTCACCATACCTTGGCTTCAGATAAGGCCACAACTGCAGTGAGTTCTGAGGGCTGACCATATGCTGGATTAATTTAGGCAGGGTAGTAGCTGGCTAATGGTAATGTGCATATGTAAAGGGGGCCCTCCTGGGGTGTAACAGCCATCCCCAATGTGATAAAGCCTCTCCCAAATTAGAGCCTGGAAGAGATCTAGATTGAAAAATCCCCCTGCCCACGGTGGATAGGAAATTTGCTCTGCGGCGTCTGGAGCGGGGACGTGAAGCCATTGGTCCGTGCAGTATTTGAGGCCTGGACTATACAGTTTTTGCACTGGTATAACTATGGGGATTATGCCGGCATAGCCATGCCAGGATAACCCCATAGTATAGACGCAGCCTACAGAAGGGGTTCTTCTGTCAGTGTAGGGCCCCCACCTCTCCTAGTGACAGCAGCTTTCTTCCTTCAGCCTAGCTGTGTCTACACTGGGAGATAGGGCTGCGTCGTTCAAGGCTGTGGCTTTTATGCACACCTTGAGAGACGTAGCTTTTAGGTGTAGAACAGGCCCCGTAGAACTCCATCCACACTAAGGGACGTTGTCCCCCTTTAACTATGCTGGTGTGGTTAAAGTGGTACAGCTTTTGTGATAGACAAGGCCAGAGTTTCCGTGCATTGTGGCAATGCGGAGAACCCTCCAAATGGGAAAGCCAGCGTGACCCGAGGCAACGTTATCTTCCTCAGCCTGCAGGCAGTTGGGTCCAGTGCTTCGGGTGCAGCTCATAGCTTTACCAAGTAGCAGCTTGCGAAGGGTGCTGCTGAGTTCTGTGGAACTGTCAGGAAGGCTGCCAAGGCCCTCGGGGAAAAGCTGTGAGGAGCCACTGTAGCAGCAGAGACGGGGACTGGAGTTATTCCTGGGGGTGGGGTTGAAAGCTAAGATAGAATTCGAGTAGCAGAAGTGCCATGCACACAACCCCCTGTGCCAGCTCCGCCCACCAGCTGATGTATGGTGTGGGGGGAAGGGTACCTTTTGCCCAGCTGCAACCAGAACATGCATGACTTCAGATGTCAGACCCCTTCTGTGTTTGTGCAGCGCCTGGCACAGTGGGGTCCTGGTCTGCCCACACGTGACAGGGGGGCTGAAATCCTTCGCAAATCAGGCCTGGATTGTGGATTCGGAGCCCTTGAAAACTTGAGCCTCAGCTCGTATGGGGAATCTGGCCCTGAACTGAAGATCTGCAAGGTGGCCGGGAGCCAATAACCTGAAAGGTGGAGCCAGACGGCGGCTAGCCCCCGTGAAGTCACCTCATGGCTAGCCCCAGGCACTCACTCCACCTTGGGTAGAAAATAGTCCTGGGCAAGATCTCGCTGAAGTGGACTCGAGTTTCCTGCTGGGAGGGACGCCCCCAGCCCCTGTCGGCCGCCTACGCCTCATGGGATCCTGTGTCAGGGCAGACTGTGTGTGTCTCGCTTACCCCAAGCTGGCATCCTGGGGGGCTTTGCTCACCCGGCAGATTGGCTCTGGCGTGCCCGCAGAGAGGCAGCCAGACTCGGGCCCGTGGCATTGTGTGTGGGGCCTGCTGTCGCGTCGTTGGGGGATGAAAGGCCCCATTGTGGCGTGATGGCTGGACTCGGACGGTTTGAACTTGACGAGGCGGCGTGGTTTGAAATAGAGGCACTAGGAGCTGGGGCGCTTGGGGGGGGGGGGCAGCTCAGGACATCAGCGGAGCCTCCCCCCCTCTACAAAGGAGCGGCTAGAGCGTGGCTGGGCTAGAGGGTTCTTGTAACCTGAGCCGGTGGTGGGAGGGAGGTGGGGAGAAGCCAGGTCCCCTGTGGGCGGTGGGGGGGGCTGGAGCCAGGCTGCTGGGGGAGTTAGTTCGGCCTTTGCAGAGGGCTGGACCCAGAGGGTGAACTGCCAGGGATGGGGCAGCCTAGGCGTAGGCCCGCAGTGGCAGGAGGGAGCTCCGGAGGGGAAGGCTGAGGCCTGTACGTGGATCAGTGTCAGAGCCAGCCCTTTGCTAAGGCCTCTCCTCGCTAGCACCCTAGTGAGTGGGAGATGCCCAGACACCGGCCTTCTGTGCTGGCGAGAACCTACAGAACAACTGTCCCCAGCATGGAGGGGGCAGAGACCATCCAGCTGGAAGTCCTTGTGTTTGGTCCCTGGACACCACGGTGACTCCAGCTCTCCAGAGTCCCAGTCCACTAGGCCACCCTGCCCCCCGTTTATCTCTCAGGGCGCCCGCAGCTGCACCCCCTCCCCAGAAGCACAGCGTGGTTGGGTGAATCACTGAAGATCGTGCTGTGAGCCGGGAATCGAACGGAGGAGTTCTCGCTCCCAGCCCCCTGCCTTGTTGACTGTAGGTCCTGCAGGTAAACGAAGCTGCGCAGGAGCTGCCTGGGATTTTCAAAGCCTCTGAGGGAGTT